GTAAAACAATAAAGCTAACAATGAGTATTGAACTACATTTGTATAAATAGCTCTTACAGGTCACTCCAGTCTCCAAAGTTAACAGACCCTAGTGGGTCAGCTTCCCGAGCCACTAAACTAAACCTCGTCATAGGCAGAGCAGCGATCTACAGCGATCTACAGCGGCGCTGTCGCTGACGTTTCTGCGAGGCTGCTCGGGACCCCGGTTGTTGTCAAAGGGAGCGGGGTAGACACCTGGAGGAGAGCGGTAGTCTGAGCTGGTCGAGTTCCCTCACCTGTCGACTGCATCTAAGTTTTGCAGCAGCTACTGAGGAAGAACCGAAGAGCAGAAATAGGACTTTTTAAGTCAATCCAGACTTCCTGTGTTGGAGTGCTGGTCCCACAGAGCAACAATTTCAAGAGCACCTTTAAAAATACTCGTAGGAAATGATTTTACCCACTTTACAGTCACAGCTGTGGGTAGTGAGAGAAAGAGTGATGTTACACAAAGCAGTGGGAATCCCTTACAGCTGAAGCTGCTGTTGCTCCATCACTGCTTTACAATCATACTCACCTTTAGCCGGCAGTGCAGAGATGATGTGGTCGGCTGATACGACTCCATCCTCCAAATGGACCTGCAGACACACACACACACAGACACACACGCAGACGCACACAGACACACACGCAGTTACTTCCTCGTGCTAGCAGGCGAGGGGAACCAGAACATTGCAGACATTACACAGTCACTTCAGGAAATGTGAAACCTTGCAAGAAGCAAACAAACTGCCATCCCCGACACTACCATGTCTGATATGATGGTGCCACCATAACACACCACTGCAAACCAGCTAAGGTTTAGTTAAACGTCTTTAACCTCCACACTAACCTGCCAACCAGAGGCTGAAGGATCAATCTGTTTAACAACAGCCTCTTTGTGAAGTTGCACTCTCCCACTCTGTTGTAGGTTCTCTGCAATGGCTTCTGGAAACGACTGCATGCCCCTCTTCAACGACCACTGGGCCCACGACTCTTTCTTAGATCTTTTAGCCAGAGGGCCGCGGGAAATCACCTGAGCCTCACCTGCAGGTTTCAAACATACAACCTTAGTCCTGCAATAAAGACCGCACACTTCACTTAGCACAGAGGAAAGTGAGACAGCCTGAAAACGCTGAATCCAAGCCAAACAAAATGATGACAGCACACAACAGCCATCTGTTAGCATCAATGCAGGCAGAACAATAAAGCGTGCAGAACCAGAGCTCAAACCTATTATTTGATTTTATAGGCTAAACACAGACATTTAATCAGAGTCCTGACAAACACGCGAGTCAGGAAGTCCTGGAAGTGATTTTAAGATCAACTGGAAGTGCAGTACAGGTAAATGGTTGGAGTGGAAGTGTTGGAGTACCTGAGCCCAGCAGCATCCCCAGGACGATGGAACCTCTGTGCTGCTCTGCGTTGTAGAGGACAGGAAAACAAGAGCGCACACTCAACTTCCTGCAGTCCCCTGCAAATACACCCCGACACAAGCTGTCCACAGCTATGTCTGCTAACTGCACGCACACACACACACACACACACACACACGAGCACTGTTACCTTTTCAGTTAAGTGAATCTTAAACGTGAAGCTAGTCTCCTGTTAGAGACTAGCTTCACGTTTCCATGTCTTCCTTAATAAATACACTCGTGTGTCCAAATGATAATCATCGCTCATCACGAGTGTGTTTCCTCCCTCACTCATAAAGAATAAGAAACAGCTGTCAGGTATCTACTGATACACACCTGCTCATTCACACTTTCAGTCTGTGAGTTTTTGCCGGCCTCCTGGTCAGGCGTCAGCTCTTTGCTTCAGAGCTTTTAGCCTACAGGCGTCACTGGGTTGAATGTTCAAGCAGCTCTAATCTGAATAACGGCTGAGGTGCATGATCAGGTAAGCAGGAGTTTCCACT